CCCAAAGCCTTATTCTAATTATTCATTCAAGGCCCCCATAGAAGCCCTTCTTGGCTCAGCTCGGAGCCAGGTTCGCCGCACGTGCGACCTTGATGAGATCAGCGACATGGAGGAGCTCAAGGCCCTGTCTTCCGAAGAGCAGGAAAACCCGAAACCTCGGAGGACCTACTGAGTACCCATAGGCCCCATAGTAGTTCCTTTTTGGGATCACCTTATGGATTCTAAATATGAACCCCACGAAGGAACTACTTTGGGGCCTATGGGTAGAGCTAGAAGGGTAGCTCTCTAAGTTAGGGGTCTCTTTTGGGATGAAGGGCACCGGTAATGGTCTGCCATTGTGAGCCGTTACTTTTGGGTTTCTGTCAGGCTTGCTGTAAGCTTGTCAGTATCCGTGGCTACATAACGGCTGCAACAAGGGCTGTTCTTTTGTTTGCCGGGCTGTTCGGCCATGGCTTGCTAAGGAAGATCGAGCTCATTGTAGGCCTTAGGGTTTAGGGGCCTCCGGTAGCAACAGGGTTTAGGGGTAAATCGGTCTGAAATAATTCCTCGGACCTTTCCTGTCTCGGTGAGGAAACACAGAACCACCCGGCAAGGGTGTTTATACACAGGACCCTCAAGTGGTATCGAGTAAAAAAATACATTACATTATAGACTCTGCAGAAAATATACGTTGCGTGCAACGAAGTATATGCAAGATAGATGCCTTGGCCTCCCCTCCGATTGAGAACCCAAAAGATTGTGCAGATCTTGCTTCTTGGACTCTGTCATGGGGCTTGACAGTGCATTGTAAGGGAATGGTGTTAAACAGGCAAGGTTGATCCCGAATTGTTTTCGACCCTGCACACTAGGACGCTTCCAGAAACAACTCTTGCCGAACCTTTCGTGCGGACTTCTCACATCCAATAGTCACGGACCGTTGGAAGCAAGTCCCAAACAATGCATACTAAACCCTAAACCTTAATCTCTGAACCCTTAACCGGCAGTCCTAGACCTCGGCAAGCCAAACTGGAAATAAATGCCCGATACTCACAACCAGGACCGCCCAGATACCCTAAGGGTTCCCTTTACGCGTTGAGGGCGTTCTGGTTCCTTGAAGGGTTTAGGGTTTTAGTGCTCTGCCAGGACCCCTCAAGCACCCGTTAATGCAGCCCCTATGGTCCTCAATACTGTGTATTTTGGTTCTACTAAACCCTAAACCCTAAACCCTAAACCCGAAACTAGAGGGTAGCTGGGGGGTCTAGGAGCAAAGCCGCAATCCGAAATCCGAACCCCAGCTGCTTACATGTAGCACATCCCTACGCCGACAGCAAGCCCCGATTCCTAGACCCGCAAGCTCTTCGGTCTAGAGTTTAGGCGGTCTAGGGTTTTGAGTTTTGGGTTTTGGGTTTAGGGCTTAGGGTTTAGGGTTTAGGGTTTAGGGTAGGGTAAGCACAAGATGTTTTGAAAGGCTGCCGCGATTGGTGCGACCATGGTCGTGCATCTTGGATTCTTTCAAGCTTGAACCAGATACCAGAGTATCCAACCAGAAAGTGTATCCTTGACAAAAACCCCCCAAGACCTCACCCAATCTGCCTGTGTGTATAGGTAGGATATCAGTTTTGAGGTTTCTCGTGTTTAGATCCTCCCAGACCCCTAAACCCTAAACCCTAAACCCCAAATCCTAAACAGGTTATGTTCGTATGTTCGTATGTTGTTCCAGCTCAAGCTCCATATACACCGCCCAAAGAATCGAACAATGAGGGTTAGGGTTTAGGGTTTAGGGTTAAAACACAGGGAACCGGTAGAAATCTCATGGGCATGAACGGAGAAACTCGTTTTTTGTCTCATGTTCCCGGATAAAGACTGCATGTGTCATAATGAGACGTCTGCTGTGTTCTGCTGGGGTTCCCGCGTCTTCCCCTTCCTGCAGCTCTTGTTTGTTCATTCCCACCAACACTAGCATGTTATATCAGGTTTCTCTAGGACTGGCATTCTTGAAATAAACCCTAAACCCTAAACCCAAAAGCCCGAAGCCCTACAGACCCTCAACCCTGAACTCTAAACCCTATATACTATTCACCCTAATGACCCTAAACCCTATACCCCATCACTCACATAATTCTAAGGATTCTGGGAGACCTGAACACCCAAAGCCAAGCCCTAGGCTCCCGGACATCGAACTTCCTTGTGTGTGTTGGAACATCCCTGGCGGAAGAAGCGCAGGGTTTAGGGCTCTTAGGGTTTAGGGTTTAAGCTTTAGGGTTTTAGGGTTTCAAGGTTCATCTGTTCAGTGAAAACCCTAAACCCTAATCCCTAAACCCTAACGGTTTAGCCTAAGCTTAGTCAGTCTCGCGCATACGGATCCAGACAGGCCAAGGCAAACAACTCGCAGCTCCCACGGTGGACTCCTATGCCATCCATCTAATATAGGGGCCTTAATAATTACCTAGAATTACCTATAATATCTCCTTAGTAGAATTACCTGTAATATCTCCTTAGTAGAATTATAGTATAATGGGCCCGAAAACCCTGTTCTAATTATTAAGGCCCCTTTCTTAAACATGTTGAGCCGGCCAGGGCTGTGCATCATGATTTGTTTACCCGACAATAAGAAGCCATGGTAGTGTTTCTATGCGGCCTGACTCTTCTTTTTTAAGAATAAGGCCCCGAAGGGGACAAGTTCTGAAGCGCTTGAGGCCGAAATCCAGAGGTTCTGAAAAATCGAATCCGGTAGGTGTCTGAGCTAAGTTTCGAGAGTTGGGCCTTTCTGGGTTTGAGGCTTTCGGGGCCTGATTATGCAGGGGCATAAATAAATACCAATAATATTTTAAGGGGCTCCTCATTGTAATTATAGAAGTGAGGCGGTGCTGGGCTTGCATGGCTGAGGATGTGCTCTACCTGCGGACACGGCGACTTCCCGCAGAACGCCGGACTCTTCTGGAGCAGCTCGCCAGCATCCAAACTGAGACAGTGACGTGACCGAGTTAATATAGAATCCTAAATGATTACCAGTATTAATATTGCCCCTAAGCCCTAAACCCAATATTGCTGTTAGGGTTCCTTATTAAGGTAACACTATAAATTAGTGTTCACTGATATGTGTGATGTGGGGCCTGTAGGGGCCTAGCTGGCCCCGCCAAGCCCTATTGAAGTTATCACGACCCCTTTAATACCCTTAGCATCAAAATTGTCCAAAAGCCATATATAGTAGGGTCTTTGGGCCCAACAGCCTTAAAATATGAGTCCTTTGAAGGCAAGGGTTAAGGTTTCACAACCGGGTTTCAAAATATACAAATCTGTGACAGGTGATTGTTCCGGATTTCGGACGTCACGCAACGCTTGGAGCCTCAGAGCCCAGTTACAGCTCTGTAGGTTCAGGGTTTAGGGTAATTAGTACTTATCTAGTGAGTTACCCTGTTGTGGGTATGATACAGTCTGTATGTTTTCCCTGCCTAGGCTTGTACGCGGGCTTGGACTGGCTTAATTTCTGACAGGATCCCGCAAGCGAGGTCCTGAATTACTTTAAACTACCATAAGCCCATAAATTGCTTTTCTGTAAGGTCTTATTATAGGTACTTCTACTGTCATTAGTCTACGTAGTTTTAGCAGCGATGCTGGAGTCACCGGGTACCCTTTAAATATCGACTCTGTCCTGATGAGGCAGCCTGTCGTCGACGACTCTGGCGCCCAAGGAGAAGCCTAGTCGTCACAGTCCCGTGGAATTCGATTGTCCAGACTGTATCACGTCCTACCAGGCAAGAGCTAGGCTGTGCGCCGTTGCAGCTCCATAGTTTCTTGGCTTAGGCTTGAGACTCAGTCTTCTAACCAGGACATGCGTCGGAGAGGCAACATTGGTTCTCAACTGATGCTTTTGCAAATGCTGACGCGCAGCAAAGTGTAGGAGCTCGATGGCGTCCGCTTCTGCGTCTTCGGCATGGGCGACCGATCCTATCATGACTCTTTCTGTGAGGCAGGGTTCAGAGCTTCGGCTGCTAGGGACCCGCCCTGAAGATTTCTTGAAGCTGTGATCCCTGAACAGACACGTTCTACTTCCTGGATGTCTTAGCGCCTGGAGGGTGTAGAACGGGGGCTTCCAAGATTCTGATGTTGGCTCGGACCTTTGGGATTTCGCGTATATGTAGAGTTCTAGAGGATCATGCCAGGTGGTATAGTCTACGGTACATTGCATAGTAGTGCTTTTCGGCTTGGGATTCAAAACCTGGGTAAAGAACAAGAGTGATTGAATGTTTGAGGGTGGACAGTTCCAGTGTAGCATCGTAGTGCCGCATCAGCATAAGCCTTCAAGAAACTGAACAGCCCCCCTGTGCAAGAGCGGCTTGAATGGAATGCCTACTTCATAGCCTTAGGGCCGATCTAGACCTTCTACCCATAGGCCCCGTAGTAGTTCCTTCCTGGGGTTCACATTTAGAATCCTATAAGGTAATCCCAAAAAGGAACTACCATGCGACCTATGGGTAGACCTATCTAGGGCATGATCTCTTAGGGCAACCCAGGTTTTGACAGGGAACCCTGAACCCTTAACCCTTAACC